CAGTATTTCATGTAACATTGCAGAGGGAAGTAATTAATATCTTGGCATCTAATGAATGATTATATGTAATAAATATTGTGATTTGGATATTTTATAAGTGTACCATATTTTATTTAATAATAAATATAGTAACCTCATCAACCTCTGTAAGAAGAAAATCTGAGGAGGAGTAAGTATAGCAGAGGTGTGGCATCTACTGCTAGCAAAGCTTTTGGAGGAATAAGCAGCCAGTGAGTGTGTGTGTGTGGTGGGGGAACAGTAGAGGGAACTGATGAGTGCACGGAACTGGCAACAGAAAGTAGTAGCACAGGGTAAGTAATGGAGGGTCATTGTGGGGGATCATTTTAAGCATTTTTATCATTACTCTTTGGCTACGTCTAGACTGGCATGATTTTCCAAAAATGCTTTTAACGGAAAAGTTTTCCGTTAAAAGCATTTTCGGAAAAGCGCATCTAGATTGGCACGGACGCTTTTCCACAAAAGCGCTTTTTGCGGAAAAGTGTCTGTGGCCAATCTAGACGCGCTTTTGCACAAAAAAAGCCCCGATTGCCATTTTCACGATCGGGGGCTTTTTTGCGGAAAACAAATCTCAGTTTTGCGCAAAAGGGACTTTTGCCCGAACAGGAGCAGCATAGAATTTCCGCAAGAAGCACTGATTTCTTACAGTAGGAAGTCAGTGCTTTTGCGGAAATTCAAGAGGCCAGTGTAGACAGCTGGCAAGTTTTTCTGGAAAAGCGGCTGATTTTCCAGAAAAACTGGCCAGTCTAGACACAGCCTTTGAGTGTCCAGGAGATGAATCTGGAATTTACATTCATATACAAAAAAATCTAGTGGGTGTATTTTGAATCCTGGGTAATCTGTTGTTGGGTTAGTGGTGGTGGTGGGTTTTGTTTTTTTTTTAACTTTACCCTTGTGTTTATGATGCTAGCAGAATTCTTCAGTGCTTTATTCTTTACTGCCAACTTACTTCATCTACTAAGCAGTTCATGCTGCTTTAGCTTACATTCCTGGGTTTTCCAGTTTTGTTTATGAAAGCTAAGACTTACTTTGTGGCATATGGTGTGAATTGTTATCTGTACAATGTCCTATGCTAGACTGCACAGTATAATATTATCCCGGAACCTTGGAAAGCGGAAGAACAGAAGTAATGTCCAAAGACATTAGGGAGCAAATCCTGCCCTCCTCATCCAAGCCATGCTCCATGACTATGAGGAATGCTGGTCCACTTTGATTGCACTTTGATGGAGCAAAATGTTGGGGCCCAGTGCACTCAAGCCAGGTTCCCTTCACAGCATAGATATTTGCTATTCATGGACTCCCAGTGTTCTAGGGCGTGGCACAAGAAGCTGGGGGCTTTGTGTAGACCAAATAGAAATGGGCTAGTGAGAGTGTGGCTATGTCAATCAGTTAGCCACTCCTCCCATGGAAAGCACAGGAGCTGTAGAGACTCCTGTGACTCTGAGGTGTAACAGCAGCCATAGAGTAATCTAGAGGACAAGTCATCATGTTTTGCCTCTGACCTCCATAGGCTTTTATAGCTCCCAGTCCAGTTACTATGAACGTGGGAATTAGGATTTGCCTTTGTTGCCTATATTACTTTGATCTTGTAACAGATAGCCTCATAATGGTATTTAACTACCTATAAAATCATTATGGAATGAGCACATTTCAGTTTGATTAAGGCCTGAAGACATCTTGGAGCCAAAATTATATCTGTTAATTTAAAGCAAATTTTCTTCTTGCCCTCCTTTTTTCATCCAGGTCTTATCTAGATGGGAGTTTTAGGTAGACCCCTGTACACCCTCTATGCTCATGAAAAAGGTCATGAATTGTGCAGCAGCTGGCACAAAAGGCCACTTCAGAGACAAACTGGATAGTGGTTGTCAAATCACATTTAGACAGTTCATTGGCTTTTATTTCTAAATCTTCTGTTTTAATTACAGCTTTCAGAATTCAGAATACTCCAGTTAATCATATCAATGTCTAATATTTTTTACACGTGCTAAATTCCTGGTCTCCAATATCTTGTGGCAATGCATTCCACAGGCTAACTGTACAATTTCCTTTTATCACTTCTAAATTTGCTACATTTCAGTGTAATTTAGTGTCTCTCTGTTCTTCTTGGACGAGACTGAGTGTGTAACTCTCATTCTACCTTCTTTCCACTATTACTTTGTATACTTTGATCATGTCCTATCTTATTCATCTTTCTCAGGTAACAATTCTGATCTCTTCAATCTCTTATCACACCTCTTAGAACTCCCTCATTTCTCTTGTAACTTTTGGAAAGGTGTTAACCAGAATGAACACATTATTGCAGGGTATCATTGATGAACATAATGGGTGAAATCCTGATGAGGTCAATGGGAGATTTGCCAATAACTTCAGTAGGATCTGGTTTTGCCCAATGATGTTGTTATATTTTCCTTATTTTTCTCCATCCTATGCTTTATACACTCAGTTTGAAAATTTGGTACCTCAGAACTTTAATCTGGAAAACCACTGGCTCAGTTCTCTTCCCTAAATTGTTGTCAGTCCTCAAATTAGCAGTGTGGGCCTATGGGGAACATAAGCTTGTCCCAAAAGCTCACAGTCAAATTGTATTCTGGATTACATTTGTACATTCCCACTGAACCCAGTGTGGTGGAACAGATGCAACTGATGACAGAATTATTTCCCAATACTTTGAAACAAAATATCTGATTTTGACCATCCACCTGAGAATCATCTAAGAAATACCTTATATAGCATATAAAAATAAAAGAGCAGTTGTTCTGTATATAATGCAGTATGAGTGTATGTTTTTATAAAATTAGCCCCCCTAAAAATCTATGGACTTCTGGGTTTCCTCCCCGAAAATATCTAATCCATGTTCATAATCTTACCAGTTAATAATATAGTAAATAAAATGTTAATAAATCACCTGCAATTTAGACTGACAATGTGGATTGACCGCATTGATTAAATTGATTACATTTCATATATTTACAATATGTAGACACACGCCCAATTTATTTTCTGAAGAGTTCATGGAAGGTATCATTGGTTTAAAAAAACAATGGAGTAATGTTTGTGGTTGCTATCTGCAATAATCTAATGCTGACAGAGAGCAGTATTTTATTTAGTAATTAACAGTGTAAAGGGGAGAGAAGCTGTCATGTTGGTTCTTAAGCTGGGGAATGTGATGAAAGATGATATCTGCGATCTCATCCTTTCCACTTGTTTAGGATTGTCAGGATGAGAAATGTCAGCATTATGAAAGCTCAGCTCTGCTCTTGATATGATAAAACCCTTCAAAAGCCAGTCTTTCTCCCCCTCTCCCCCTCCTTTCTCCCTCTCCCTGCACTTGCTTTTTTATTTATCCTGTTTTGTTAGATGGCAGAAATATAATTCTTTTCTTTCTTCCTATTATAAGCCACCATTTTTGTTTTATTATATGTTTCACAACCCCTAATGCCCCACTGAAAATTACTTTGTTAAATGACAGTGTTTCAAAGCCATGAATCCTTTCCACCATTCCCTCGGAGGTTTGAAACAGTCAACAGACTGTAAAGAATAAATAATAAAAAAGTATTGATTATTTTGATGACTGTGAGATTCAATTAAGTATTAATTTTGCCCTCCAGTGGACCTATCAAGGTATTCAAAAGGGAGGATTCAGCTCAGCTAAATGCGTGCTGAGTGCTTCAGCCTTAAATAGGGAGAAAATGTGTTTACCTACAGTATTTGAAGAAGAGTGCATTGATGCACAGAGTCCAATATTTAAGTGCTGTGCAAATTAAGCCCTGGTGACAGTGACATTGTTTTCAGCGATATGAGTATTGACTAAAGAAGTGCATTTGATGACAGCTTAAACTATTTGTATTGATTAACATTTTCATAGATTATCATGTGTCATATCAAATTCACTTTTCAGACATGAATACATTAAAAAAACCCAAAGGCAAACATCGACCAATGTGATGATGGGACATAGGGAACATGCTAACCAACCTACTTGCACGCTGGTCACCTGTTCTCTGCATAAGAACCATTTAGGCATGAACTTTGCAATAAATAGCTGCCAGGAAACCCAACAAGATCACTTGTTTCTTTTCTTTTTTTGCTTTTGAGGCTGGTTTCTGAGCTGCAATGATATTATGCATCTTAGTTTGCAAATGGAATAATAGAGTGTACTTGGAAATAATATCTGACCCCAAAATGCCCTCTGAATGAGCTGAAGATAAAACAGATCCAAATCATCGAGAACCAATTTAACTAATATATATGTATCTATATATATAATATTTTATGGGAGTATAATGTCCCAAACACAAGAATAATTGCAAACACTGTGTGTAAGTATCTTCACTGATTTTATTTTTTTAAATTTATATTTGTATATGTTGCTGTTAAAATTATATATAGGCTTTTGGAACATAGTGTCCCAAAAGCAAGAATAGTTAGAACAAATCTATCTGAATGGAATGTATATGATAAAATAGTTATTTGTTGCTTTGTATTTTCACTACAAGATTTGGGTGATTAACATTGTTGTGTATGGTTTGGTTAATGTTATTCAAGTGAGGATGCTTCTTTAAATCCCTGTGGAGTATACAGAAGGTGCTACTCTTCTGTGTTGTTGGAGCGATTTTATTTTCCTACCATGTTAAGGAAAGAGGGAGGTGTAAAAACACACACAGAAAACCACATCCCACAATTAAAGCTGTGTTGCTTGTGTTGCTTTCATAGAAGTTTTTCTCCAAAGCATCCTGAATCTCTCACATGCTAGTTGAGCTTTAATAGGGTGGGGAGTAATGGAAAACTCATTGGATCTGTAATAGCTCTTCACTTGACTGCAGCCAGCAATAACAGCAGGAGCAGCAAGAGATAAGCGAGAGAGAGTGTGTGTGTGTGTGTGTGTGTGTGAGAGAGAGAGAGAGAGGGGGGTGTGGGACAGAATATGTGTGTGTGTGTGTGAGAGAGAGAGAGAGAGAGAGACTTTTTCCCCCCCATCCTAGGATCCAATGATAGCTGGACAAGTCAGTAAGCCCTTGCTGTCACTGCGGAGTGAAATGAATGCAGAGTTGAGAGGTGAGGACAAGGCAGCTACTTCAGACAACGAGCTGAATGAGCCCCTGCTTGCGCCTGTGGAATCAAATGACAGCGAGGACACTCCCAGCAAGCTCTTCGGTAAGTCTGTCTAGGTATTTCATTTCAGTGTTACCATGTTGTCCGGAAGAGCAACCCTTCCCCCCCCCCCCCTTTATTTATTTATTTTTTGGTTCGCTTAATTTTCTTGTAGTACTGGGGAGTAGTTTAGAGTCGGTAGGTGTGTAGCCATATGCTCTGACTTTCAACTGGGTACCAGAATGACAGCATCACATCCTGAAAACTTTAGTCAACTATGAACTTATTCCATGAAACTCTCAGGCATTGTGTATTTTCTCTTGCTTAATGGTCTCTAATATAAACACAAATAAGCGATCCTTATATGCTGTGATCTTTTATTAACATTTATTGCTTAAGTGCTGCCTCCAGCATTTCAGGCTCTCTCAGTCCCTTCTGAGGATGAAGTAAATTTAAAGAGTTGTCATTATATCTGATAAAGTGAAAGCTTGGAGAGAAAAGAACTGGAAAATGTTATAGAAAACAAAGGAGGCAATGCGGATTGTTTTCAGGTATTTTATAATTGAAATTAGACAGAAAATATTGTCTCAAAGTGTATGGAAGGACAAAAATACAGTTTTACATTGTATCTTATGGAAATGAAAACATAGCCTTTCAGGTCTATATCCAAAACAAAAGCAGAGAGAGTGGCATTTCAGAATAGACATCTGTCATTCAAACAGATGACACCCTGTAAGCCAACTCAAGCAACTGTGATCTCTAATCAGAAAAGGGAGCGGAGTAGTTGAGGCGCATGCTTGAGTGATAGATGTTGATAGATGTCTGTGATGGAACAGTACTACATGGTACATTGTGACATTTTGGTTTTACAGCAGTTGCTCCTGAAAGAGTTCCTTTTAATTATATCCATTTGTGACTTCATAAAAATCTTAGCCGGAATAGCAAGGATCTTTACATTTTACAGATTCTTATAGCTGGAACTATAAGGGGAAAAGACCATGTTTACAAGGGAATGCAGTTCTGAAAGAGAGAGAAATCCCATTTTCTGAGATTCAAGTTTTGATTTCATGACCTGTACAGAGTCTGTAGCTATATTCAGGTGACCATAGCCTAGAACTAACAGAAAATGATGCTGTTTTCTTTTAAATAAGGGGTCCTTTCTTATTATTAGAAACTACTTGTGTTGTACAGAATGTTTTGTTAAGTAACTTAAGGAGCGGATGAAATAAAATGTTAAGATTTGTAGTGACCATTACAGAATGTAACATACATTTTAAGCAACCCCCCCACCATGGAAAACAGAATTTCAATTAGCAGTTTGAATATTCAAATTCCATATAATAATAATTTTAGTCCATTTCAACAATAGAAGAAATGTGATATCTAAAATTCAAGGTGCTCATAGTTGATTGTGGTAATATAAACATTTTAGATAATGTTCATGTATGTTATTTGATCAGATATTTAGGGAGCAAAAGATTAATATATATTTTCTGGATGTTGTCATTCCTTGAGATATTTTATATTTAATCTGAGATGAACAATACGTCTTTCCAGTCTGGTTTTGTTTGGTTATGTTGTATGTTTCAGATTAGGCGAGTTTTATAAGAAAGGGTGGGATGTCCCTGGAGTTTTTTCTGTATGATTAAATACCCCTGTAGAGCACCAAAGCTGTTTCTTTATAGTTGCTGCATAGAGTAAAAATAATGTACAGTAATCTTTTTTCCCTTTTGGATGGTAAATTATTAATTTTGCTTAGCTGCAAACCATAATGAAAAAGATGCAAGTGAGCATACTGTGAACAAGTACTTATTTGTTTGTTTAAGGTGTCTGCTACTCTGCTTTCATACTTTTCACAAGCTAGCACCAAAGTAAATCATAGCAGTAGGAGCAAATAATTTAACTACCTCAAAGTGAACTGGATAGTATTTATCTCGGTTTTACCTTTAAGCAGTAACCTTTGCCAGTGAGTTGTAGCTTTGGGAACATAAAAGACAGGACAAGGGCTATTCGGCAAGATGAAACGGAATGAACTTATTTAAACTAAAGACACCTGGAAATTATTCAGCTGATGCCACACTTATAGTTTATGAAGTGATTCAATGTTTAATTGCTTTCTTGGAAAAATATGATCTACACAAAATATAGTGCTATTCTAGAGCTGCTTCTCTGTTTAGAAATGTTAATGGCATGTTAGGAATGCACACTTCGGGCCTTACTTCGTAGTCTCTTATATACTACGTGTTTGTGATTCACATAAGTTGATGCAAAAACTGGCATTCTCTGATCATTTTCTTTCATATGAAACAAAATTAGCATTCTCTGAGTTTCTTATCTAGTATTTGGTATGCGTTGTGAGGATATTTGCCAAATACCTAGTAAGGAGGAACATTTTAAGAAGTGAGCGGGTGGGGGAGGGAGAGGGGGAGAGGGACTGGTCTATAGATGAAAGCTTCCCAGAGTGACTTTTTTCAAATTTTGGAATAATGTGTGTTCTTTGAATGACCAGCGTTTGATCTCCCTATAACTTGCTAAACTTAGCAGCTTTTCATGGGTCATATTTTCCTATAGGTGAACTGATTTTATAACATTTTGAATAGTTTAGGCACAAATAAGTGTTTTCCACAGCATCGAGAATGAATGTCTTTATTTGCCACATAGTTTTCTTTTGACAGACATGCACACCATGTTTTCTATAGTAACTCAGTGCTTGGCGATGGGAAAAATGGGAATGAGATACCTTTGGCCTCTCCCCTCTTCCTCACTCTGTTTTTTTTTCCTCTCTGTGTGTCTCTCTGTCTCCCCTTATTATAATATTTCATAGTAATGGAGCAGTGGATATTCACATCTTGTTCTGGTAAATCATAGAACAACTACTATTAGAAATGTCTCTTTGCCAGCAGCAGGTCCAGTTTTAGGTGGTAGAGATACAGGATTAACATTGAATCTACTCATTTTTGGCATGTGAAGGATGTGCAGTGAATTTTTGGCCTAATCCTATTCCTCAAATATATACCAGTGACAGAGGAGGAGAAGGCACCAGCTTTTCAGACATCAGGAACACAAGTCTGTAAAGAGGCAGCTTTGTCACAAATCTTAAGCGATTTCAGTCTGAAACTCAGAACTAGACCCTTAGCTGGTGTACCTGCCAATTTATAGCAGCTGTGGATACGACTTTGTCTTTATGGGGGAGTATTTCCTTAAAGTCATGATAAATTTGGTTATTACTTTTTATTAATTTTATTAAAAAGCCATTGCTTTTTATTTTGCTTTAGAAATACGTCCGTTCTGTAACCTTTTGATATAATGTATCTTACCTAAACTGGATCCCATAAGCTTATGTGTCTATGGACTTTTGACATCTTTAGAGAATACTGATATACAAAACTTTAAATGTTTAACTCATGCTAAACAACAGTGGCAATGCAAGGTAAGAGACGCTGCTGCAAGTGCAAACTGTCCGAAAAGGACTTTAGAGTTTTGTAACATATTACATCAGATACGATTTTGCTCAACTTACAGAGTTTATAAAAGCTACAGTTCCCGTATGAGATGTAAATCCAGATTCCATTGAGTAACATGAGATCAGGTAATTAGATATGATATTAAGTGAAACGTTATTTATGCTTGAAATACCGGAGAAAAGTTATCTCCTGTTATGACTCCTTTATGTTAAGAGCCAAATAGAAGCATAGAATGTTTAGGAAGTTATTGACTTCTTGGTAGAGTGCTGTTATTAAATCAAGTAGGTTTATGTTGTTGCAAATTAATGACACCAGGCCAAATCCTAATGTCCTTGCTAGAGGAAGCACCCATTGATGTTGATAGCAGTTTTGCCTTAGTAAGGATTGAATGAGTACTAGAGGATTTTGACAGAAATTATTTAAATCCTGCAATGTGTTTATTGATGACTTATTGTTTAAATCTCTCTGATAAAAGGGTGGGAAATGTAATTATTAGCAGTATACTGCTTCAGTGTTTGGCACGGAGAAATGGAAGCAGTATGCACTCTACATAAAAATAACATGTACAGGCTTGATACATTTCTATGAAAGACAACGGCAAGTAACTACATGGACTTCCTATAACATACAGCCTAATAATCCAAGTTCCACTGAAGGCCATGGAGTGACTGACTGATCAGACCTATAATGGGCTGGATTCTTGGTATAACTCAGTTGCTGATTATGGAGATACAGCAGGATCACATTTGCAAATTAAGATCACTTATTCAAATATAAACATTTGGTGTTTTTAGGTACCTGGAACTTTCTATGAAACTAGAGATTTTTTCAGGGAATGCAAGATCAAGCCTCATGTTCATTTAGCATAAATGTTGCTTATTTAATTTTGCAGCAGAGCAGGATGGATTGCCAACATTTATTTTATTGGCAACACTTCTTTTTGTTCAAGTAAAATCTTAGGCCTGCTTTACTGAAAGAAAAGACCCTATGTTTTTGTTTGGTTTACTAGAGTTTTGTTTTCTAATTGTGCCTTTATAGTGTGTGTGTAAGTGTGTTAATTGTATATCTCTGTAAAACAAAGGCTTTTCCCCCTCTCCATTTTTATACACTTAAAGTCAGTTTTAACATTTTGGTTCAATTTACAGTATAGTTGTGCAGAATTTAAAATTTTCTACATTTTTACATGTAACTGTGCTGGTGTATGACAGAGTTCTTATGGAACAGGATAGAAGTTAGAACAGTAATTCTGCTTTGCTAGAAAACCCACTGTAACTCTCTTCCTCCTCAGAGCCTCTCAGAGTAATGCAGAAAAACATTCATTATGTGATTTATTTTTTAAATTGTCACCCAGGTTGGTCTGATTGGAATTTATGACACAAGAGTCATTTCAGATACAAAAGATGAAGGTCTAAATTGTCTTTCATTCCTTCAGACAGTGGGCTCTGCAGGTCAGAGCTGAGGTCATTGTGAGGAAGCTCACATTAGAGTCATTAATATGGTACCTAGCTTGTAGATAAATTGCAACCTTCACTCTAGCATTGCCCTTTGTATCACTATATGTAAGAGTTCATTTCAGTGTTTCTGCTGGAACCTGTATTT